CACTTGCCAGAGAAGCGCTTATTTCACTGAGCCATCTCCTCGGCCCCTTTCATTCTGTTTTAAACTCAACTCAATTTGACCACTTTGACCATCGGGAATAGTCTCATTGGTGGAAGGCCTTCCTACCACCCTGCAATCTTAGCCGTGCCTAAAAAGCAGTCATAGAAGAGACTCATAGGAGTTGGGGTGACACCCAGTAAAACATTTTACTGAAATGATTAGAATATACATTGGTTTTGTTTAAGGTTTTATGTCAACTGTTTTGATTCACTTTGATCATGTGGATCCATCTGTTCACTGACCAACTTCTACATCTTTGCTGTCTGGAACTGCAGAATGTGACTGTGGCCCCAGGTTCAGCAGACAGGGTTGTTAATGGTGATGGGATGCCCGGAGAGGAGCCAGGCGACAGCAAAGCGGAAGACACAGCTGGTGTCGTGAAGTTTGGCTGGGTGAAAGGTGTGCTGGTGAGAAAGCTCCTCTCTTTACACTTGGAAAGCCCTGCTCCGTCATTGGGGATTACGTGTCAGTGGCCCAGACAGTGGGTTTGGAGCCCCGTGTGGCCCTCTTTTCAGTGCCCCTCCCTCCCCAGGTCAGATGCATGCTGAATATCTGGGGAGTCATGCTCTTCATCCGCCTGTCCTGGATTGTAGGAGAAGCTGGAATTGGTAAGCGCTTTTCCTGCAAAATAATTTTTCCTTGTAAATCCTACACATCCAAATCAAGGTGGTCTTGCCATGAATGCCAAATGAGAGAGGAAGGTCTCAGAAATCCTTCACACCTCACCGCCCTCCACCTGGCGCCTGTCAGGTGAAGGTGAGCAGCTAACGCCAATGACATGGGAATTTTCCAGCTCGCCCAGCGGGTGAGCCCTCAAGGAACCCTTTACACTTTTGATGAAGTGTAAAGCGTGCAGGTTTAGAAAGGTGCACTCATTTTTAAATAATCATGTTCCTACGTGGGGATATATTGACCCCAATGTGCCCTTTATTTGCCACAGAGTAGACTCCTTTGACCACTGGCAAAACTTACTAAACAAAAACAACTTGGGAAACTGGTGAAAATGTGATCTGACTAATAAAAGGATGGATTTTTGAACATGTTCCAAAGAAAATAAGTGTGTTGCTTCCAGACACTTGCAGTAAGGAAACTAGAGTTAGTAAATGAAGTGTTCCCCAATATGAGCTTAAAACATTAGAGGAAGTAGCTAAGCCAATGCAGATAGCTCATATTTTTTTCTAAATGGAAAAAGGAAGGTATTGATATTATTCTGAGTGATGCTTTTATATGCCAATTTCCATTTAAAATATTATTTCTGTTAGCAAATCCTTTCTGTGGCGAGTACACCAGTAAAATGTATGTGAAGTCCCTATTTGAATTTTATCAACATTGCTGATTTAATGGGATAAAAATTAATGATGCTCTATTCTGTGTATGTGAAACAGATTCTGAATTCACATTTAAGGGAAGATTTGTAAATCATGAGTGCTGAGAACAAAGAATTTCAGATGTTTTTGCAGATGCTGCTCCGGAAGCTAGCTCAATTCATGTTTAAAAAGTCATTGGTAGCTGTGGTGCCTGGTAGCCCCCTCCTGTGACCCCAGCGCTCTAGGAGGCTGAAGCAAGAGGGCTATAAACTGGAGCCAGCCTGGGCTCTTTAGGGACTCCACAAGAGTCTGTCTCAAAACATTTTAAAAGGGGGGGGGGCAGTGCAGGTGGCTGGGGACGGATTTCAATGTAAAGGTTTTTAGTCCAAGGCCCAGTGTGGGCAAAAAAGAAAAGTAAATTGTGACTATTGCCTTGCTTCTCAAAACATACTCAGAACCAAAAGAAGACCAATTGGAGAAAGATAGAGATAAGCTGTAAATTGAACAATTTAGACCCAGTTCCCATCGTTTTTCCATGTTGCGTGTTTGGCAAGCGCTGGGTTCCTGACAAAGGGCTGCTTGCCGGTTTTATGATGCATATCAAATGAGCAACACAGCCCAGGGCCAAAAAAAGAGAGCGTTGCTCCATGGAAAATCTGCATCTCCGTGTTGCCAAGCTTTTGCTCCAGGGTTTCACGCAAAATTAGGTTTTTAAGGGCAGTTTAGTAACTTATTGAGATCATCAAGGAGCGTTACTTTGTTTGGAGGTAGGAGGAGAGCCAGGGTCAGGAGTAATTCTGGTTAATGTGGCTTATTTAACATCCATATGTCTGGGTAATAATCTGAACCTTAATCAGCTCGCCCACTACTCTTCACAGTCAACCCAGCCTCGAGTTTATTACAGAATTATAAAATGTGAACAATCCTATTTCCTGCTGAGGAGTTTATTCTCCTCACAGATATGAGTGCTACTTTAGGTAGTTAAATCACTTATTAGAAGCCAGTAGAGTTCTACCCAAAGCCTTGTCAGTGAGTTTCCCTTGCAATGGAGGTTTGTTGGGCATGTTTTTCTTTTCTTGCTCTTTGCTCCCGCTCTCGCTTTCGCTCTTCGCTCTCGCTCTCCACCCCCATGAGAACTTTTCATGGACTTTACTCAATTTTACGGCTTTGGCTGTAACTGTAAAGTTAGAGTTATTACAGCATGTGCCCACTGGGTTTCAAGAAGAAGAAGAAGAAGAAGAAGAAGAAGAAGAAGAAGAAGAAGAAGAAGAAGAAGAAGAAGAAGAAGAAGAAGAAGAAGAAGAAGAAGAAGAA